TTCTCGAACCAACAAGTGTCAAGGGTGTCAAATATATAAGTGGTTTTGCTCTAGGTTTAAGTTTACTAAATTATGCTGCAATGCGAAAACATAAAGTTGCTTTCTCTATAAATGCTGTTCAGGCCATATTTTGTGGAGTTACTACTTGTTCTCCTAATGTCCTCACGATGCCTGGTATTGTGATGGTGCGCATCTAGGTTTTTGTTAAATGTTGTATTACAAGTTCTATACCCTTGAGTAATGGCGTGGCAGATAGTGGCCTGAGCTTGGTGGATTTCGTCTTCTAATTTCATTATTCCAGTTTCTTTAAAAAATTTCTCCGAGCTTGTCATTTTGTCGTAGCCAAAAAGGGATTTGATCGCGCGTTTTTGTAACATCTGGAGAGGGTATAGTCTTGAGGGATTTGCTGATCCCCATATGGATGCCATGTACTTTAATCTTGAATGAATTAACCCGTAGTATATTGTTTTTTTGCTTTGATGGTCTAAAAAATTTCTTAATCTGTGGACAACACCAATTGTAGGAGCGATCTTCTTACAGATATTTCCTATATGTTTATCCCACACTAAATTTTCATCAATGAGAAGTCCAAGAAAGATTGCTGCGTCAGTTCTCTGAATTGTATAATCTCTAAAAGTGAAGGAGGTCAAATTAGATGTTCTTGTAGCTGGTTTTTTAAAGATCATGAATTGAGTTTTTTGTAAGTTAATGAAAAGACCATTTGACTCCATCCAGTCCATGAGAACCTCCATGTCCTCTTCCATTTCAGTTAAAATTTCTTCTTCAGTCTGCCCAAAATAGAAGAGGTTGGTGTCATCCGCAAAGAGAGTAATTTCACCTTTTAGTTTGAGTACCATGAGGTCATTAATGAAAATTATGAATAAAAGTGGACCAAGGATTGACCCTTGTGGGACACCGTAGAGAATTTCTTCGAGACTACTACAATCATTTTCAAATTCCACATATTGCTTTCTTCCTTCAAGATAACTCTCCATCCACTTGTGGGCATTGTTTTGAAAACCAAGATTTTCTAATTTTTTCAGTAGCAATTTATGGCTTACCGTGTCAAAAGCCTTTGCAAGATCAATAAATAGACCAGCTGACAATAGATTTGCATCAAGAGTGTTCTGAATTTTTACCGTGATATCCAAGGCTGCTAAGTTAGTATTCGTATTTTTCTTAAAACCATATTGCTTCTTGGAGAGGAATTCAATAGTGTCCAGGTAGTTTACTATCCTAGCCCTCATCGCCATTTCAAAGATTTTTGAAATGGGAGGGAGGATAGAGATAGGTCTGTAATTTGATATATCATCCCTGGCACCTTTCTTGTAAACAGGAACAACTCTTGCAACTTTTAGGGAGGGGGGCACTTTACCCTGATGAAAGGAGATGTTGACTAGGTCCCTGATTATGGTTATTAGTTCCTCCTTGCATATCTTAATGATTTTGTTCGTAATTTTGTCAAAGGTCTGGTTGGATTTATTTTTAAGTTGTTCAATATATTTTCTGATCTCTTCTGAAGTTGCACTGTACAATCTAAAACACGTATGCTGGCTGTTTCTTATTGAAGGTCCTGAATTTGGTTTATCTTTTCTTTTTTCTTTTTGTATTAGATTATTAACTGTATTTATGAATTGTTTGTTGAATTCGTCTGATTTTATTTCGCCTTTGTAAGTATCTTTAGAGTTGGTTTGATTGTGGAGTGCTTCTTTGGCAACATTCCATATATTTACTGCTAGATTTTTTGAGTCTTTGATTTTGTTGGAATAGTACTTTTCTTTCTTTTTCTTTCTGAGAGCTACAATTGAGTTCCTGCATGCTTTGTAATCTTGGTTTATTAGATCATTATCTTTGTGTTTCTTTTTTAACCTGTATAAGGTTTCCTTTCTTTTGACTAGTTGCAGGTACTCTGAGTCTATCCATGGGGCATGCGGTTCTTCTTCATTTATGCTATTTTTTGTTGTTTTTGTAGTAGCCTTGTTGCAGCTTTCTTGCATGAATTTTAGGAAAAGATTATATTCTTCTTCAGCTTCACCTTCCTGGTTCACTTTGTAGGTACTTAGACATCTTTTTAGTTCTTTGAAATTAACTTTTTCTTGGGTCTTTGTTGTTTCTTTTGAGTTTGGGAGTTCAGTTACCACTTGTCTGCTGATTATTAGTATGTTGTGGTCGAGGTTAATGAAAGTTGGTGGCGCGATATTGTAGATTTCTTCTTCACAGGGCATATTTGAGAAAATATGGTCGATCAGCGTTGATGTTTGGTCAGTCACTCGTGTGGGGAGGGTATTGATCCTGTAGAAGCCATAGCTCGACATTGTACTGCTGAGGTATACATTTTCTGTGCTATTTGTGAGCATATTTATATTAAAGTCACCTAGTACATAGGTATTCTTGCCCATCTTTTCCAGAACTTTTGCACTCTCAGTTATATAGTTGTCTAAGTTACTATGGCTGGGATTATATATCCCCACTACATTGAACTTTGTTTTTCCTTTAGTAACAGCTATACTAAGTATCTCGCATGTTTCACTGTAGCTGTTTACTTTGTCAAAATTTAGATTATTCTTTACAAAGATAGATACTCCTCCTCCTCTTTTATCTCTCCTGCATACGTGTTCTGCATTATAATTTCTGATATTCATGAAGGGTAGCGAGTTTTTTTCCAGCCATGACTCCACTATTACTATTAGGTCAACATTTTCAGTTAGAGCAACCAGTGTTTCAACTTCATCAATTTTATTTTTGAGACTTCTAGCGTTTAGGTACATTATATTGAGATTAGTTTCACTGAGAGGTTTGAGGTTTGATAAATTTTCCAACTGGTGTTCCTGGGACGGTGTATTCATTTCTGTCCTAGACTGCCTGTTCCTTGGGGTCATATTTGTTGAGGTCACTTGTATAGTTGATTGTGGTTTTCATATTTGTTCCTTTTTCTTTAATTATGATCCTCCCATTTCTGGTGTGGACAGCGCTAATTGCACCAGTTTTCTTTAACTGTCTTGCCTGATAGAAATTTTTTTCTGCATATTGGGTCAGATGTTCAGAAATATATATGGTTTGTTTTGCTCCTAACCATCCCAGCTCTTCTGTAGTTGTGTGACTGCCTCCTTTAGACTTCTCTATGTAAGCACTTAATAACTCGTCCTTTTTCCAGCGATTGATGAATTTGATAACTAGTTTGGTGCCCTTTCTTGATGGTAGAGGATGGGCAATGTCAATGTCTTTTTTTGTTACTTGGATTCCCAGGTAATTGCCTATATCCTCTATTGCATCGTAGGAGTTCGAATGAAGGAGTTGATCGGGGATTCCGTTGACAATTAAGTTATTTCTTCTATTATACACTTTGAGGGCCTCTATTTCATCTACTAGTTCGTTGTTATTATCTTTGAGGTCGCAAATGTCATCTTCAATTTTATCAATTCTTTGCCCTAGTCCATCCACTGAGGTCTGAAGCTTTTCTATTTTGGCTGTATCATTGCTGATATTTTCAAGTTTTGACCATATGGCTTCCATTTTCTTGTCCGTGAATAGTTTCCCGAAGTCACCCATTTCTTCTGGGTTTGTTATTGCCGGGCTGTCTGCTGTGTTGACCTCGCTGTCATTGTCACTCACAGCTGATGACCTAACCTCTTCTATGCACGTGCACCGGTTACATATAAAAGTTTTGGCAGTTTTCTCCAAATCCTTGAAATTTATGTTTGCACACACTGCGTGCCACCAGTTAGCACACTTGGTGCACTGAACTGATGCTTCGATTTGTTTTCTGAAGGTTTCTTTGATTTTTTTTTCGCACTTCGGACAGAGCACTACCATGTTCTACCACCGCCTTGTCATTATACATTA